TAATAATCTAAGGAAGCAGGGCACTTTGGGGATGATGGGTTATTGTTAATCTAAGAATGGGTTATGTTTAAGAAGTCACCAAAAAGCGAAAGAGGCCAGTTCTTGGGTACAGTGAGCTTTGAATAAAACTTGGGTTTATAGAGGGTTTCTGATGGATACTTTGGTTGTGTGTGTGTGTGTGTGTGTGTGTGTGTGTTGTGTGTGTGTGTTTCTATGTGCATTTTAGGGATGGAGGGAATAAGTTAGAAGTTAAATGAGTAACTCTTGAGTATGTCTTATATGGGTTGTTGAAGTTATATTTTCCTGATTAAAGCAAACATACTCTGTGACTGTTTTCATGCCTGAAAAGTTTTTGAAAATTTCAGAGAATCATTCTTATAATATAGTTGAGCCACTGTTAATATTCTCTTTATAGAAGGAAAAGAGTCTCTGTTTAGAAATTGTGTTATACTTTCTTTTTCCTTGAACCATCTCAAAATGCCTGAAAGCCAGAGAATCAAGCTTCCTGGATGACAGGTATCTCGGCTGTTCCATATTTGCTCCTATCTTCACACTCCCTGGGCACATATGCAGACACTTCCATTTTCTTAATGCTTAAAGCTTTTTTAAGATTCCGAAACAAAGTTTTAACTTTCTCATATTCTTCAGTAATTAATGCTAAGTTGTGTTGAGATCAAAGCATTTTATCCTTTTAATTCTGTGGGGGGGAAATGATTTCTTCAAATGGATAGTGCTGTACTTAAAAGTAATATAATATTAGGTATGTTCAATTGCTAATGCTATTTTCCTACAACCTTTATCACATTATAGGAATTATAAAAGTTTACTTCCTTGCAATATTTTTGTCTTCATTTTGCACTAAACTGAAGGATTCCATATTAGTTTTATTTCTTCTAATAAGGTCAGTGTTTTAAGTTCAATAAGTTTAAAAAGATTAGTCAGTGTTTATCATCCCAAAATAATCGTCTTTTACATGTTCCAAAAGCAAATTGAACATGTAGTTTCATAATAATTGAGGTTGGAGAAAATCCATATAGCTAATAAACTTTTATTAACATTAAATTTAGTAAATATTCAAGTTCTAGAATACAATGTAATTTCTTGTATACTAAATACAGTTTTTGCCAATTACAAGTCATCAAATAATTATAAATGCCAATTTTAATTAAACTCAACTCGCTGTATCTATATATTCTTTGTTGTGATTTATACAGAAGCATGTAAAGAATCTTAGCATTGTTTGAAATTTGAATTGCCTTTTAATAGCTGGAATGCTATTGACCCTCCTAAAAATACCTATGTGTATTCCTCTATCTGAGAAAAAGAACAGCTGCCCCCTGCCTCTGGAAACAGTTCTGCCCTTGCAAGGAGGCCTGGGTATTGCTGGGAACTGGCCTGGAGCTCACAGCCAGGCCTGGTGTTCTCCTGTTGGACAGAACAGCCGCAGAGAACACCAATATCAGACAAGGTTACATGGTGCTGCTTGAGACAAAAAAACAACTTTATGGTTTTTTCCAAGCACGCAGACAAAAACAGGGTCACTTTGCCTGCCACCTAAACACCACACATCCCCCTCTCCTGGTGAATTTGAGTATATGAGTGTCTGCTCCTTCTCTGCTAATTACAGCTTCAGCCTAGAACTGGCCCTCCCTCTCTCTAGATAAGATTTGTTAAAACACCAATCACAGAATCATCTTTGCTTCCTAAATCCTTCCACAAATCACTTAACCAAAGCCCAGATCTTACAAATAAGTCCTTTTCGAAACCCCTTTACTAAGTTGCCCCCCACTTCCTGTGTCTCCCTCATTGCAAGCAAGTAATGAATCCAACTTTTTCAACTACAGATGTGTTATATTGCTGATATTTGGCAGAAGGATATTGATATATCCATAGCCCAAAATTGTGACTATTAAACTAGTAGTTAAGTATAAATGTGAAATGTACCTTTTTACTGTATAGTAAAAACACAGCATTTATTGCTATAAAGTTAAGTTTAAAGTTGATGTACTGTTATTAAGATTTCTAGGCTTGGAATTTTGTTTTCAGTAGGGTCCTCCAAACCCACAAGTATTTTTTAACATTCTACTTCTGAAACACATTTGAATAGTTCTCTTTTCAAATATGAAACATATGTATTTTATACTCTAGGTTTAACATCTCAAATGATTAAAGATGCTAGGCTCTAAAGAGAAGTTTATTCTTTGGAGGATTCTTTTCATTATGCTTGGGTGATCATTGTTCTAGTTCAGATTTTAAATTAACATTTAAGTTAATGGCAAATAATATCCCTCTCCTTTTTTCAAAAATACTAATGGATCAATATTCCTTAAACACGATATTGTCAATTCTAAAAGATAAAGCAAACATACTCTGTGACTATTTTCATGTCAGAAATGTTTTTGAACATTTCAAAGGATCATTTCCTTAAAATATAGTAAATAACATTTATTTTTCCTTTAGTGACCACTTTGGATGGTGAACTTTTAAACTGTTGTATGTATGCATCAGTAACAAGGGGAGGAGCTTTTGACCCATCCACTGTGTATATCCTTTAATATCCATCACTTTACTCCCTATTTGTGCTGAGGATATATTTATTACATTATTACATTTATTATTACATTTATCCTTTTATTGCTGCAGTAGTGATTGGAATGACTATGTCTACATTCAGTCCCCAACTCACAGCATCCAGCAAAGTTAGAACGCTTAGTTTGTACTTGGTTATCTTTTTCTTTAATTACTAAATTGCCTGTATTATGATAAAGTTACATGAATCATAACATTATGTGCAACGTACAAGAACTGATAGTTGTATAAATGCTATCATTCCCATCACCACAGAGAAAGATCTTTATCCATGATGAACACTGACTGTACTATTACCCAAGATCCATATTTAATCTTGGTTATCTTTTAGAACAATCTGCTAGATCCCTTTCTCTCTGGCATCGAGAGCTGTTGCCTTCTTTAAACTATTTTTATTTGGCAAGGGATTGGAGGTTTTCAAATAACAGTATCATCCATGCAGAAGATCTGCTGGTTTGTGATGGCACCTTATGTAAACATTTTAATCTCAGATCCCTAAAATCCAGAGGCTCCCCGAAAGGGATTAAACCGTCATCCCCCGTCTCTGTTGCCATAGTGGGTTAACTGTCTTCTCTGTGTGGCTGCTGTGCTCCCTGAAGGCCGCGGCACAAAAGCTCTCTTAGCCGTGGCTATGGGATTGGAAGTTGTCATTGGAGCGTTGCAAAGGACAGGGGTAAAAATGACACATTACGGCTGAGTATTTCGTGATGTGTCTTTCTTAAAGAAGGACCCGCTGGAAGCCCAAAGTAGAAAACCTCCATAAGATCTCAGTTCCATAGAATGACCGTGGAGCAAAATCGAAAGGAAGCTCCGTCTCTCAGAAACGCAGAGAAACAAGTAGAGAACCGTGTTCTCCGTTAAAACTTCACGGAATTGTGTACTTAAAATGCACACTGTGGTTCCGTCAATCAAGGTGGATGGTTCTGATGATGTGTTTCTTGAGGTTTTGTTTTTTTTTTTTATCCATTTCCCCAATTTCATTGTTCGGATGTGTAACATTACTTTTTAAGAGGAAGGAGCAGCTCGCCATTTTTAATGTTTCTGACCATGTTTCATCCCCACGTGCCAGAAACCTCTCCGGAGCCAGGAATGCCCGGCCCTCCGCGCCCAGCCGGCCGGCCCCCACGCCCCCCGTGCCCCCCGCGCCGGTCGCGGCCCCCCGCGCCCCCCGCGCCAGGGCTTCTCCCGGGGACCGGAGCAGCAGCGGCCCCGGGGCCCGAAGGGTTAAGGGAGCGGCCGGGCCGGCCGGGCGCGCGCACAGCCCCTCCCCGAAACACAAAGGAGGGCAGGGGGGATCGAAACCCGACGCCGCTTGTACCGCCCGAGGGGCCCGGGCCTGCGGACCGGGGCGGCCTGGATGGGGGTGAATGCGCCTCTCCAGGGCGCTCCGGCGCGGCGGGGCTACGCGCCCGGGACCCAGGCCCGCAGCCGGGCCTCCACCTCCCGCGGGTCCCCGCGGGCCGCCCCGCCCCCTGGCCGGCGGTCCCCACCCGGTGCATCCGGGGGGCGGGAGGGATGCAGGGCGCCCCAGCTCCGGGGGAACGGGCACGTCGCCTCTGACCTGCAGCCCGGGGTGGGGAAGAGCGCCCCCCACCCAGCCCGGGGCGCTGAGGGGCTGTTAGGTAGCCAGCCTTGGACTTAGCATTCTAGTAGGTGAACTCCCCGTTTCCCCCCGTGACTCAGACCCGGGGACGGGCGTGGGCGCCGCAGAGGGCACCCTCTCCAAGATCTTCTACCGAAGCTGCTTCTAGTTTCAGAAGTTGAAAAGTAGCACTTTTCCTGACTCTTTTCTGAGAACCGGTTTTTTTCCAGTGTTTTATAGTTTCGTCACTTTTAACTGACTCGAAAAGGAAATCATGCTACGGTTTTCGTTCTTTTCTACGTAAGAAATTATTTACTGTCCGTGTGCCCGTGTGGCGCGCCTTAGGACGCCGGTATGAATCTGTCTGCAAGATACAAACCCGCTAGTGCGGGGGCATTTGTGCATTAGACCCTGTACCCCTTCACATGCTCCCTCCGGTCCTTGGGGGGCGCTGGGGCCGAGTGGACCGGCTTTGCACGAGGCCCGACTTTGGGGAGCAGCGCTGACGCCCAGGCTCTCTGAAAGGTGGGGGTGCTTAATGGGGAAACGGGGCATCTAGGATTTCAGGCGGGGGTTGCAACACTCGCTTGCTAAGGGTCGTTTACTCGGTGTCCTGACCTCTTGGGTTTTCATGGAGTTATTTATCTCTCATCTCATTATAAGGTAATGTATAAAAGCTAAGCAGACCTTACCTCACATGAAAGGAGCGTGCGTAATAATACAAGCACCGTTTTTTTAGTACACCTTTACAAATTAAAACCTATGGTAGCCTAATGGGAGCAAGAGGGTCCCAGGGACTCCACCTGACTCCGGTGCCCCTGTCTTTCAGGCCCAGTGGTTCTCAGCACTCCTGCCCAGCTCATCGCTCCCGTGGTGGTGGCCAAGGGTACTCTTTCCATCACCACGACAGAAATTTACTTCGAGGTAGATGAGGATGATCCTGCCTTCAAGAAGATCGATGCAAAAGTGAGTTTGTGTGACTCCCTGTACTGTACTGTACTGGTGGCTTTGTGGCAGGAAGTGGTTTTCAATTTTGCTTGGTTTTAAATGACAGTGGGGGAGGGGAGCACACTCCCTTCTTGCTCGTAGAAAATGAAATGAATGCAATAACTCACGCTCTATTTTATGGAATTGAAGAATATATTAACGATTTGAAATCCTGTCTTACCAGAGCATACACATTTTAACCGTCTCTCTGAGTGCCTTTGTGTGTGCATTTGGGCACATGTAGTAGTTAAGCCAATTGCTCCCAGGTCCCTTGGGAAACAGCATCTCAGGCTCTCTGGGAATACTGGGAACGGTCTTAAGAAATTTCTTGTTAAGATCACTTTAAATTTCCAAAAGTGTAGCTTGCAATGTGAATTATTGCTCACTGAAAGATTATGAGTGAACTGGGGGCGGGGCATTTACATATATTTTCATTTCTATTATTCCATTTTCATCTGATGAAATAAGAATTAGGCTTTATAGGTAAATTAAAGAGGAAGAGAAACTAATTCTCTGAGAACCTTTGATTTAAAATGTGTATACATATTATATACTAGTGCTCAGATGTTTAAAGTTTGTGTTCTGGGTGGAATGCTCAAAAATACACATTTGGACGATTTTAAATGCATAAATATTTATTGTATCTTATTGGGTAGGTTTTAAAACCCAAGTATTAGGGCAGCTCTACACCTCTGCACTTTCTTATGAAACCAGTTTTATTGTGTTTCACTTTTATGTTACTATGCAATTAGTAAACTTTTTTCCTGAGGTTAAGAATTCAAAAGCATAAGTGTCATGCTAGATATTTAAGCATCATTTTACAAAGATCATCTTTTAAAATATTTTTCAGAGGCAATTATGCTAAAATAGTCAAAGACAAATGCTCCCATAAATTTGGAATTGTATTATTTATATTTAATTTGTATATAGCTTGAAAGCATTATAAAACATTATTTGTAGAATAGCAGTTGAAATTCCAAAATCTACCCCATCTTAATTAACTACCTCCAGACCCATAGGTGATTAGCCTTTTTAATACTTGTTGATTATTAAAATCATAAGACTTCTTGCACTTCTAGAATGTTAAAAATGAGTTTCAATGTAGTAGTGTATTTGATTTTAAAGTAGTTAAAGTTTGTCTTTATACTTTTATCATTAGCTTGCCTTATGAAGTAAAAATAAAGTTTGGATTTCTGATTAATTTATTCATCTAATGGAACCTCCTAATTGCATAAAATAACTTTTGACATAAAATGACCAGAAATTACCTTCAATTTAGAGCACAGTTTTCATATGCAGATTGTGAAAATTGCATTTTTACTTTCTTAAGTTCATTTTCTCTGAGTTACTCTGTTTTTTCACTCAGCAATCTTTGCAGCGATGACATATTTTCCTTATGTTATCAAAACTGCTACAGAAATACTAACCCGGAAGAGCAAGCTTTGCAGAGTAGATTTAAATTGTGTCTGTTGTAAGGGGAATGCTTTATGAGTAAGTTAGAAACTGAGAGTACATTATCTTTAGTTCTACAGAAAGAGATTTTCTTCAGTATATTAAGGTTTTATTTTTAATGATTCATTAGCATCTTTCTCAAAATGTTTAAAATATTCAAGTGTATTCAAATTCCAAAATGAAGCATTACATCTTTTGACAGAAAAACAATTTAAAGTGAGACACAACACCTTTATTTTACTTTATTAGCTTCTAATTAAATAAAAACCGGCAACAGAAATTAAAATCTAAATCACAAAAGTAATTTTCCAGTGTATTTCAAGTGCATTTTTCAAATATATAATTCAGATATTCAAGCGTTATTATATAAGCTGAATTCAGATTTCTTTGAATATATTTAAATAACATTTCAAGTATATTTATGGAATGTTAGAAATAGAACAAGCAATATATTTGAAACAAAATGTAAACTTTTTAAAGTTCAGACACTTTCAAAGACATAAATGTACCAGGAGGAAATCTACCTTTAAATGGTATCTCCGTTAGTGGAAAATATCTGGAAGTATCCAAAATGGCCATTTAACTTCTGTTCACCAAATCACAAAAGCACCAACATCCACACTTTCAAAGACAATGCGAGATCACAGTATTTGCTACAAATCAAAATAATACACTACTTTTCTTCAGATGGCATATCCAGATCGTGTTTACTCACAGACAGATGCACCTAAGTCACCAGGGTTGCTATAATCCTTTGATAGTGAAGCAGTGTTCACTGTGGCTTGCATGACAGCCTGGGGTCGTCTTCCGGGTGTTACTGTGTACTTTTCAAGAGAGATACGAAATCCTTTGTAAATAAGTATTCTAATATTTGTGGGTTTGCGTTTTCTCCATCCGCTTCACTACTATTTTTTTTTTCTCCCCTTGGAGGGGTGGGTGAGATGATGCCTCAACATTGTATGATTTATTATTCCTTTTTTAAGGAAGAGATTGTTTGCACTGTCAAGTGGAATATCAGACAGGAATCGAACAGGAAGTTCACACTTAATTAGGACATTGAGAAGAGTGATCACATGTCGGCTCTCGATTCAATGGTCCCCTAAAGTTTTTCCAAACTTTTCGGGTTGGTCAGGATCTCCCTCGCCAGTCGCCACGTTTGTTTGGCAGCGTTCTCCAGGGCCGAGTGGGGTTTGCCTTGAAACAGATCTAAATTCGGGAGGAAGTAGTGAGGACACCGCCGGCACTGCAGGCAGGAGATGAGTTGCAGCAAAATCCCGTTGAGACGGTCGCCCAGGCAGGACTCGTCCCAGTCCGACTCCCGGGGGTGCTTTTCGCACTCGTAGGAAACCAGAGTCTTCATGTGGTAATTGTTGAGAGGCTGGCCGGGCAGTTCCAGGTGGCGATCCCGCAGGGTTTTGAGGATGGAGAGGCATTTCTTCCTGCAGCCGCCCATCTGCAGTCTGTTCTCCGCCTCCGCGAACTGCAGCACCCAGGCGTCGCTCTCGGCCGAGCTCTGCTTGCCGGCCAGGGAGTGGCACTCCTTGGACAGGAGGTTGAACCCTTCCGCCTTGACCTCCGCCACCCGGTTGGGTCCCGGCCAGGGGATGTGGGGAAGCGGCCAGTGCGCGGCACTCCTCGGCCAGATCCCGGTGCACTTGAAGGCCGGGGTGATCTGCACCACGTACCTGTCTCGGATCCTCAGTTTCACTTCGCTGGTGTCCGCCACCATCTTCACCACGTCCCTGTAGCTGCATTTGTCCACCGCCTGGGCCACCAGCGTCTGAAAGCGGGACCGGATTTTGCGCGCGGAGAGGTAGCCGGAGGCGGTGATGAACTCCACCCAGAGGGACATGCTCCGCTTGCGCCCGTCGCTCAGCTTCAGCACCGCGCAGCCGGGCAGCGAGCCGTCGTCCACGAAGTTGAACACCCCCATCTGGTTCAGGTACAGCACCACCTCGAACTCGGTGGGGGAGATGACCTCGAGGCCCTCGTAGCGGTTGTCCATCTCGTTGAGGGAGCTGATGAAGCGGGGCTCCTGCACCTCCACCTCTTTCAGGACGTCGGAAACCACTTTGCACACCTCCCGGATGGTCTTGGCGACGGCGGCCTTCCTGGCCTGGCACTTCTCGTTGTAGTACTTGTTCAGGTGGTACACCAGCTTGGCCTGCGCCGCGATCATGTTGGGGCAGAGATCCGGGTTGTACACCGGAGTCTCGCAGTAGGCCGTGGGATCCACCGCGGCTGCTCGGGCCGGAGCCAACTTCGGGGGGAGAGCCGGCCGCCGCGCGCGGGAAGGTCCCCGGGGCGCCTCCGCGCGGCCGCGGCCCCCGTCCTGCTCTCTCCGCGCCCGGCCGCCCTTAAAGCGAAAGACGCTTCTCCTCCCACCCCCGTCTGTCGCTTCCTCCTTCAAAGAGTCCTCGGGTGGGAGGAACGCCCGGAGAGATCACCTTCCCGGGGATGGAACGCAAGTTGCGCCGAGACCCAGCAGAGCCCTCGCCGTGGTCACAGCGCGCAACCCTTTCCGCATTTATTTACGCCTCCCCGTGATCATTGTGTGTGCAGGACTGTTCATCGGATGGAGGAAGAGTGTGCTGCGTGTGTGCCGGGGGTGCGTGTGCGTGTGCATGTGTCAGAAGGAGCTGCTGCTGGCTCGTCTCGGCGCCCAGATGCACTCGTGTGGAAATTATAAAGGCAGGGCCAGGCAGGCTGGCGGCCAATCGCCACCGGGCTCGTCACCACAGCCTCCTCAGCTCCAGCCCGGCTAATTAATCCCCCCGCATGGACACGGCCCCACAAACTAAAGGTAGGAGGCTGCTGCCGGCAGAAAGCCACCCAGGCCGCCTAGACAGTTTTGGAAATCAAGAAGAATCTCCCAGCTTCGGTATTAATTGAAGCATATTGACGTTCTGAGCAGATTGGGCAAAAGTGTGGTTGTCTTCTGTGCGGAAAGCCCTGCGTGTCTTTTTTTTTTTTTTTTTACCGCGGAAATGCAAATACAGGTGTATTAATGGTCAGCCATCAGTGAGCGAACTAGATGGGGTTTTCTAAAACAAAAGTCACCGACTTGCATTGAGAGTGAGCTAATTAATGACTGTGAGTCCTCGAGGTCTTTTTGAAAAGCAGGTGGAGAGGTGGCTCTTGCTTGTAGATGCAAGTTGGCTTTAGATGGATTTAATACCTGTGTAATTTCATTGATGCTTCTGTGTGTTAGAATGCTTTTTTAAGAAACGTTGCGCGGTGTTTTTACCTATGTTTTTTCCTCATTTGCGGCGGTTGGAAGCAATCTGAAAATTATTGCTGTGTAAGGTGTTGTCTACCCCAGTTTGTTAGGATGTTTAAAAGATGTGTATGCAGAACACCCCTCCCCACCCCACCCGCAGCCCGGGCTGAACATTTGCCAGGACTTGCCCACTGTTGTCCTCGGGACACTTTTTTGTATGCACGCGTAGAGATACTTCAAAAATAAAGTAGCTCTGTGATCGAGAGGCATTTCTTAACGTGAGTTCGTAGTGAGGAGTATTTTGATAGGCGGAATTCAAGAAACCACAGAGATGAGACCTAGTGGCAGACGATTATCCTGGAAATTTTGCAGGTTTGGAGTTTCTGGCTTGTTTATAGATGTGGAATGAAGGCTGAATGTATCTCCTCTTTTTAGTGACCTTAATGGTGGTCTGATGGTAGACTTCTAATTTGATATTATTTGGTGTGATTTCATGAGGGCAAATGGTTAAGATTTTAAAAGAAAATTAAGTTGCAGTCATCCAGGGTCTCTGATTTCAATAGCATTTTGGAAAAGTCTGAAAGAAACCAACATTTCTAGATTCTGGAACTTTGACGGGCAAGTGGTTTTATGTAGAACTTTTTTTTTCTGGTGGTACCAATTGTGTCCTTAATGTACAGGAAAAGAGATAAATATTACTTATGGATTGTGTAGTGGTTTGAAAACCTAGGCAGATTTTTAACTGCATAGACGCCGTCTCGTTCAAATTAAGACTATTTCCTGCAAAATCCTTTAACTCCTGCTAACGGATATGTAGGCATTTTCTCTCAGAGCCCCTCTTTAACAAGATTTCGTAAGGGCACCCACGTTTTCCTCCAGCTTTTGATCATTTATGTATTTATTTGCGCAGGTACAGTATCTCGAAGCCACCTGTCAATTCCCTTTCTCGTTATCCAAGAGTGTAGATTTCGATTTAGCCTAACATGGTGCCTTCGACTTGGGGCTCATGGCATCTGTCTGCCCTCTTCCCCAAGAGCCTGCATTCCCTTGGGAGCAGGGCTGGCGAGCCCCCCGCAAGCCCCTGCCTCGTCTGCAGCCTTGCGGGCGGGCGCACTGCTACCTCCCGGCAGCTGGAGGAGGAGGCAGATCAAAGCCTGAGAACCGCCGGCCCCCAAGGCGAAGATGTGCCCTGGTGTCCGGGGAGAAGCCTCCTTGGTCCCCACGCAGCCCTGGGTGCTGCCCGCTGGTGCCCTGTCCCGCCGCCCCGCGCGCGCCCGCATCCTTCCTCCCTCCGGCTCGCTGCCCCAGGGCCTTGCTCTCGGCGTGCGGGTTACCGTGAAACCTCGCTCGGGTCCTGGGCTTCCCCACGTCCGCTCCGGGCACGGGCTCGGCCTCGCAGCCCCGCCGCCGCTTGCTCGCGGCCGCCCCCCGGCCCCTGCGGCCGGCGCGCTGCCTTGGCTCAGGCCCGCGGTGCTCCGCCCAGACCTCGCCCGACTTTCCCGGGCCACCTGCAGACCCCGCGGAGGGCGAGGCGCGGGGGCCCGGGGGCGGCGGCGGGGGCGGGCGCGGGCCTCCCCTCCGCAGCCCGGCGCGCAGGTGGCGCGGCTCCCGGGCTCGCTGTGCGCCTTAATTGGGTTAAAGCGACGCTAAACACCGTAGCACTTTGTGCAAACTAATTGGTGTAACCGGGGCCTTTTCACTAACGATTTGCACTTTAAAGAAGAAAAATAGATGGTGAGATAAGGACTAAGAAACTCGTTAGTCCTAGAATGTTCCAGGGAAGTGAAATCATTAGGTTTCAAGGGCGCCGGACTGTGTTTGGGGAGCTGCGTCGTTCAGCACCCTTCACGCTGGGAGCTGACAGTGATTTACATAACCCAGGATTCACCCACCCGCTGTTCCCGCGGTGGGTGAACTGGGCGCCCTAGAATAATACTCCAGTTGCCAGTACCGCTTGTTGCTGTAACGCAGTGATTGTCTATTACACTGAACACGTGAAATGAATTGCCTTCTGCAGCGAGTCCTTCAGTGATCGCGACACCTCTCATTGTTGAAGGGAAAATTAAACTATTCAGAGGAGTGTCCTTTCCATCCCCTAATTTTTTTTTATTGAAATGACCTGTGGATGGGAATTTACAATACATAGCATATCTTTGTGTGGTTCAGCTGATTTTAATCTGGGCTTTGGAGATATATTTGTTTTGTGGGAACAACTTGCGTAACTGTTTCATAGAAATTCGTTTGAAATACCATTTGACCTATCGAACTAGTTATTTCAAATGATGATATCATACATAGAGATAGCTTAAAATCAACTTATTTACTCCTATGAGTTTATAAAACAACTCAAGTGATACCAGTCTTACATTATTATTTTTACTACAAATATAATCATAGTAGTTAGTACTAGAATAAAAGCTTGTGTGTTCCCATGCTTCAGGATATAAATGCTTAATTGTCTTCAGTGGTATGCTAGCTATACAGGCATCTCTGACATGAGCTAATAATAGAATGGTAATTGAAGAAAACTGACCCAATTGATAGGGCAAAAAAGAACGAATCTCATGATTTAATGCTTACATTTGAATATTTGAGATTTTAAGGTCTAGCCAACTTGACTTGTTCATTTCACCTACTTCATTTACTAGGCAGCCTTGATTTAAAACATATCATTTAGGAAAAAAATCCGAAGAACTCACAAGGACACCATTATCATGAAATTTAGAACAGTTGATGAATATAAAATAAATGTTGTGATCCTTAACACTTTGAAGCATTCAAAGTAACAATGGCAAAATAATTTTTCCCGAAGTGCTGTTTCTTGGGTAAGTTATCTCTTTCTGTAAACCTACTTAACTTACATGGGATATACAAAGTAATGCTTACAATAGTCCCCATATTAGGTTTAAAGAAAAACTGTTATTTTGGGAAACATAAGAATGCAATGTTTCTGTGTTTTAAAAAACCTAATTTGAATTTGAATTACGTGTTCATAAATTTAAGCAATTGTGACCTTTCAATTCGAGGCTATACATACACATATTACAGTGCTCACATAGATACCATTCCGTGTTTTTGCATATCTTCTGGTTGCTCTTCTATTCACAAGTATTCATGAATTTAAAGTTTTTTTTAATATGTGTTTATTACACTGGGGAGATAAGAAGAATATGAAGTTGAGTTTATTAAATTATTTATCCCTACTGCTGGAGTGGCTTTGAAAGCTCATTATATGCATCTGATTTCTCCCCCCACCCCCACTCCTTTTTATAAATGCACCCAGGCTGTTTCATCTGTTTCATTCTGCCAGACACAATATATTTCTTTTTTTACACCAGAGAAATTAAAGACAGATATTTGCGCAGGGTTTTCTTTAAGTGTCACATTAAATAAAGTGAAAGAGAGGGAGTTTTTCTGGCAATCTAATTTGATAGCATCTATACCTTTCTTCCTGTTGTGACTCCTGGGCATAAGAACACTTGAAACAACATAGCTTGAGAGATTCAAAAGTTTCAAAGATTTCTTAAAAGAATTATTTCATATCTTAATATCAGGTTTTTATGGCAAAGTACAGCAGAGAATTGAGGTCACTGATTGCACAGTTTGGACCCTGTTTTATTTCTTCAACCAGAGTGTCCTGGTAATTGTGGTTAATTTTTAATAACTGCTTCCTTAATTCTTCCCTTGAATTATCAAGGTTGTTACCTCAGTTTTCCTTATCCCCTAGTACACGATCATATAGGCACCTTTGTGGTGGGGAGGCCTTTTTTTTCCCCTACCATGTTGCTTAGCCGACTTGCTGTTGGTACTAATAAATGTTGAAAAGAAAGTAACTTCGAGATTAAGATGGAAGTTGGAAGTGTACCTTGTAAGAATTATCGCTGCTGCTAGAGTTGCAGATTTGAGTTAATTCTCGATAAGTCTGGCCAAAACCTTTCTTATGGTAGAAAAAAATGTAAAGCTTGGGTTATCTACATGATGTTCCCAGGTTCCTCACTTCATTCGAATGTGTACACAGGCTGCAGGATTTTTTAAGTTGCATCTGTAAACTGAGAAATTGGGGCGGGACG